CCCCAAAACCCCAAAACCCCAAAACCCCAAAACCCCGATTACTATTTAAAGAGTTGAAACATTATTTGTAAAAAATTGATTACATGGGCGCAAGAAATACTCGCATGGTAAGGAGCCTTAGCTTTCGATCTTCTAGCTACTGTTTTGATTTTATAATTAATATTATTTGCCAGTCTGATCCTTTTCTTGAGAGTAGCTCTTAATCGTAAATATTGATATCTTAATACTCAAAAATGCTCTTCTTATAAAGATGAAGACTCAGAATATTTAGACTCAATTTTTTTAAGCTAGAGAGTACTTTAGACAGCTAATATTATCTCTTATAAGCCTGGAAAGCGAATCTTACAACTTTTCAAAAACTATTAAAATCATTCTTTTTCAAATTTAAACACAAAAAACTTGCAATATTCTGGATCACCAACTAAATTTCTAACAACTCCAAAAGCGGGAATATATATCCAGCGAGCCATCTCAGAGGAGTATCTAACTTAAAATTGCGTTAACCCCATAGACCTTGTCTTCTAGCCATCCCAATAAAACAGGGCCTACTTCGTGTTAACTTAACTTTGAAACCCCTTCTTTAAACCAAGTTATTTTCCAAGTTTTAATCGTTTTTTTCAAATAACTCAAAATCTGTGCTCATATTAAAAATAGGCAGGAATTAAACCAATAAATGGCAAATGAATCCTGGCCAAATATCCTGAGACAATGGATGAAGAGGTAAGTCTATTTATTAACAATACCTTCACGATTCCAGAATTATTAAGAAGGGAAGGGAAGATGAGCGATTTGTTCAAGATATGTATAATTCTTCATGTAGTAGTGGCAGGATCTGCTACGATTTCGGCTGCCTTTGGATAATTTAAAAGTTTAGAGGCTAAACTTACCTACCCTAGCCTTTGAACACCTCAAATTGGCTGAGGATAGAAGGAATTTACCGAAATAAGACTAAATTTTAATTCGATCTTTTTGTAACTTAGCTGAAGGATCGGCTAACAAATGTATCATATAGACCTTCAAATACGTGCTTGAAGAATTCCTGTGTATAAAAATCGCTGGAGACATTAGGAATTTCAGGATGAAGCTGGCTATCAACCCATATGCCAAGTTTTTTTATTGGCTCGTTGCAGTAAGCAATAATTATTAAACCTCTAAAATTTATGATTAAAATTGCAATCTTATAGGGTATTCAAAGATGAGAAAAACAAATACTACCTGAATTCAAAGAACTAAATATCCAAGTTAGCCACGACATGAAGTCCTGATCAGTCACCAAGAGTAAGGGATGCAATTGATATCCATAGAGAGTTTGGAGTACCTAACGAAAGTGATACCTGAAAAGCTGCCAACATTCAGATTGGAGAACACTACTGATAGCTTGTTCCCTATAACTCCATATCTATCCTCAGTAATTAGTTCATTTAACGACTTAGATCAACCAAGTATCCGCTCGGATTACAGGTTCAGTGATAATCGAAGGATTTAAAATAACATTTAATGAACTTGGCCAGTTACTTAAAAGTTCAGGTAAGTTTCTCTAAACCGGCTTAAATCCGATAATTTTTATTTTAACAAATATGAATTTGAACGACAGGCTCAAAATTAACTTAAATATTTTCGAGAATTTTCCTACTTGCTGGCATTTGTGTTATTTCAATATTTGTCGAAAAGAAAGTTAATTTATAAGACTATTGGCTAGGTCAGTCAGATAGGCTTTCTTCTTTTTATGAGAACGGATTCCTTCCAAAGTGGCAGGAGTCACAAAGGACGAGTTTTATAACTTACTTACTCACTACAAGAAGCTCCTTTTTGTGCAAACTCTTCTTATAGTTAAGATTTTGATGAAGAAGCAACTTAATTTTGTTGATGTTTCCGGGATCTTCCTATTCTGCTTTTACAAGATAAAGGCGAGAGCGTACTCACAAAATAGGAATATTCCAATTTTTCTAAAATTCTTACATCCAAAAACTACCTTAAATAAATTTCTAATCTGATAAAATCCTATCCTAAATTATCAAGAGCAAAATTAGGTGTATTTAAGCACAACAAGGGTCCAAATTACTCTTCTGAGAGGGTCCAAAGACTTAGGCTGACCTTTCTCTTAATGAAGATCAGTTTAGACAATTTGAAACAATTAAGGTCTATCTATCACGTTTATGAATAACTTGACCATCTATTTTGCATATTATATTTTATGAGCTTTGAAATAACCAAATACAGAGACTGTTTTAATTTCATAAGATGTAGCTCGAGGCTTACATTTGCAATATTTTCCGATTAAGAGGATGCTAGATATTTTGAATTCTGTTAATTTTAGCTTAAGAGATAACTAAATCATTTCATAGCTGCTCCTAAACTGACGACTATCCTGTTCAAATCTTGAGAAATTGAAATCCCTGATTCTAGAAGCGAGCCTATATGTTCAGAGTAAGGTAATCGTTAATCTTTCAGAATTGGACAAATAATCATAACTTGTCCTCCAAAGACGGCAAAGAGTACGACTAAAGCTCTATCAGAAACGTTCTCGAGCATGATCACAAACTGAGTAAACTGCTTATTTATTAACTTATAGTCTCTACTGATCGTTACAGCTGAAGATACACTAAGCAAGCAATCCTAAATCGAATTTTACATATTTCAATCTAATAGTAAAAAATTGGGGTTTTGGGGTTTTGGGGTTTTGGGGTTTTGGGGTTTTGGGGTTTTGGGGTTTTGGGG